TGAAAAAATGAGTATACTGACCCGTTGATGTAGGTTTTCTATATACACTTCTTCTTAATGTGCCATCCTCTTTTCTGGTCATAAGGGCGTCTAGAAATGAAATACTAGAGGCTTTTTCTTTCTCAGTAGTTAAATTTATTGCAGGATGAACCTCGTTAAATTTGTCCAGAATGTTCTTTGCTTCATCCTCATTTCTCAGAATCAAAAATGTATCATCTATGTACCGACAATAGAATTCAATTTCATCAATAACGTCTGTTAAAGGCCCATTTTCTAATTTCGCAAGGAAAATGTTGGCTAAAATGGGTCCTAGTGGTGACCCCATTGCCACACCGCCGATTTGACTATATAGTTCCTTATTAAATAAAAGTGAACATTCATTGTGTATTTCAAGAGTTCTTCTATAAAAGACATAGGAATGCCACCATCGATGCTTCGCCTTATGAGTTCTTCGCATTCAAAGTCCACTGTTTCAATAAGTGGTACATTGGTGAATAAGGAAGATATGTCCAATGATATCATGAATTTATTGTCAAAATTTAAATCTTTTATCCTTTCAACAAATCCAAAGTATCCTTTACACTGTGTTTCACCAACTCGGTATGTAGAGGCTGTAGGAGTTCGACGAACCATTTGGCTACGGGATGGTATGGTGAATTTAACGTATCTAACACTGGTCGATGTGGTACACCATTTTTATGCACTTTAGGCGAGCCATAATCTTGATGTGAACGTTTCAGTGGGTTTCAGTGATGCATACTGACTTTGACAATGTTAGTGTTTTTTAAATAATATAAATTTGTAAAGTAAGATCAATGGAATTTCAGTTCCGATTTTAAAGATAGAGAAACAGTTAGTGGAAACATTGAGAAGACTCAAACAACTGGGCTTTATCTCACAAAGTCTAATTTATGTGTCCAAAAGAAGCTAGTTCAGATATTGTCCTTACCTTGGCCATTTAGATTCGAATGATTCTCAATTTTTGTAGAAATTTCCTTAATTTTAGTTGATATTCTATTTCCTATTATATCTTTATCAATATTATAATTTGTGCATCTTTAATGAACTGTAATTCCATTGGTCTTACCTAACAAATCGATCGTGTGAAGAGGAACTGAAACAGAATGGATTAACATGGATGCAAGTGAAAAGTACAGCAAAAGACAGAAGCAAGTGGAGGCGTGCAGTTGAAGCCCTATGTTCCACTAGGAACCCAAGGGAACAATAATAATAATATTGTTATTGACTGCTATTCTAGAATATTTTATGTATATGTATATTAGCATATATGTAATTGTAAAGCCAGAAGAGGAAATTATTGAAAAGGATATTCTTCGCTCAATTTATGCGACGTTATTTTTAGTGTCTTAAGTTTAAATAGCTTTCCTCCTTTCATTTTTTAGGGGGTATAATTGTGTCCTAAGTTGAAAATGGTCATGAAGTTATACTAGCTAGATAGCTACTGAAAATCAAGACTTTTGCTTTGTATACAAACATTAGACCATGGCATTCGTCCATAGTGGCCAGTTGACTACGTGATCATATTGAAATGTGATGGAATGAATTATAAGTTGCTCTCAAATAATGGAAGTATTTTGTCCTCACATTTTCCTTTTTTCATACTTCAAAGTGAATCTCCCGAGATATCCATCTTCTCTACGACATTCTTAAACAATGCCCCATTATTCTGTCATTTCTTTTGAAAAAAATAGGTTCCTAGGCCTTTCATAGTGTCCACACTAATTCACGGGGATTTCATGTAAGTCAAAAGCTATTTTGGTGAAGGCACCGTATAGACTAAGTATCTTTCCTATGAACAACCTTTCGAGTCCTACCATTACTTCTTCTCACAATGAGATGCAAAAAATAAAACCACGTATCGTGGTCATATAGTAAGGTACATCCAATTTTACAATCGATTTCGCTGAGTCTCTCAAACGGTTGAGATGCGTGATTCATACAGTTTCTATAATAATTGGTGTATCCATTTAAGAAATCTACTGAAGGTTTCAAACAGAACATATTATAGAGACGAAACTATCTCCGCATTTTCAAGCGGTTAAAAAGTTGGTTATTAAGTTGAAATTGAATATGCTTCATGTAACGAAGTAACACATGATCGATATCTACTTTAGGTAGTTATAACGGATGTCTTTATTGAAAAGTTGTGTCACTTATTTTAATCATCGTTACAGTGGTAAATAAAGCGGTCACTTCGTGTGGCTGTGTGAGTTTACCTAATATTTTCTAAATGAAATGCTTCTTACAAAAATTGAGAAGCATCTTTCAGGGGATTGACTGAAACTTATGTCGAGAGGGATCCATAGCATGAAATGACTATCAGGTTAACTGTTCAGACCTACAAAATTAGTTGTAAATTAGTGAGGGATAATGCATGGATTTTTCAATGGCAGCCTGTGATATATTACTACTGCTACTGCTCTGCCATATATATACATATGAACAGGTAAAGTTTGTCTTAGATCTCCATATGTCTTAGCACTCAACATAATAACAAATAGTCATTAAGTGGTAGTCGAAATTAATTACAAGTTGTCTAAGCGTCAGGATTATTTATAGGCATCTTATAAATTCATTCTCTGGAAGGTCAACAAAACTCGCATTAGTTTAGTTCATTGAATTGTATGATAATAAAACAAATTATTTGCTTTTAAAGACTTTTAAAGTACCAACAAACATATTCTGCAGATAAGTGCATTTTGTTCCTTCTAGCACCCGCACATGTCAAAGAAAGTATGAATTCAGTATTTTATAGTACGATCATTTCGCTTAAACTGACTTTATAACAGTGTAGCGGTAAATAATTCCCCAAAATTATTAACCACAGCAATCATCACTCAACATTGGATGCTGACCATCACTGTTTAAGTCGACTTGTTTAGCTGAAGGCTTACGGTCAAGCATCCCCGCCATTTGGTGCTCCGTCGTGTCACGTGCGTGCACGATTACTAGCTAGCTAAGCATTCACCTCTACCCGCGATTTTGTCCCGAAATATAATACGTACTTTGGACGACAAAATCTGGTCTTTTGCTTTACCATTTGGTACTCGAAGAACGAACACTATAGAAGTTGTTGGTATAAGATCTTGCGTTAGTATAATCCGTACAACTCGCGAACGTCGATACCCGCAGCATTGTCAAATGTTTAGTTACTTCTTGGGCTTCGAATAATTAAATCTTATTAGAGTAATCAGTGAGTAAATGAGTTTGGCTAAACAGGAGGATTGATCATCTTTACTACAAAAATTCATATATCCTGTTTTTAGGGCTGCATGAACATATTACTATTTAGAAGTCTCAAATGCTGATTAGTGAACAAAGAATATGCTTTTCGATAACTTCACCTTCAGGTTATGCATTTACATTTTCATGTCGAAAAGAATAGTCTTTGTATATTAGTCATTATTTTGAAATTAATAAGGAGAATCATTAACAAATTGTAGTACTGAAAACTTAATCTTCTGTGAGATTGAGTTAAAAAATCGACGGTAAGCACAATAGCCATTAGTTATGTCATAAAGATAAGTGAATGCATTGAACTGGAAAGTAGAGCGGTGTCACTGGGAGAGAATACAAAAGCCATTATGTGAGTATACAAATAATCCTCAAAACAGATTTATCTCAGTTCCATTTCTAACTTTTGAAAGGACAGTAAACAAGCAGCTAACAAAAATATAAATTTAAATAGGTAGTTCATATGTAACTTGTAGTACATTTTTAAAGGAGCACTGAAATTATTTCGAATGACATATTTAGACGTTTTAAAATTGATTTACCGAATTTCTACACACAGGCTTTTTCTTTAAAAGCTTCAAGAGTTCTTAGGCAGCTTTCGTAAAAGCATACCGTCAATAAAAAGCTAACAAGTAGATCAACTCAAATAGAAAGGCGTATTTGCTCTGAAATAAAAAATTCTAATTCATACTAGGTGTATCTATAGTATCAGTTACATCATTCAGACGCTATGTACAGAACTCTTATAACTAGCCACAAACTATCACGTTTTGTACTTTATTCCTAGTATTTTTACACAATATACTCTTGATGATGACGATGAAGAGCCTACGTTTGCGCAGAGCGGAAGCACCTGCATGCAACTCCTACGGTAAAGACGAAGATGCAAGTGAAGTAGCATCCATTTCATTGTAATACTTTGCAGTTTCGATAGCACATGAGACGCTTGTCAGATTCACATTGTATTCATTTTGGAGTTAACCAAAGCTACAACAGTCGAGTAGGAGGACGAACTACGTAGAAGTTTAACTGAAGACCAGGAACCTTTAACTCACAATCAAGGAGCGAGCACAAAGAAATCAAATTAGCTTACACTAGCTCGCAAAAACGATATTGGATACTAGATCCTTATACTAGTTATAATTTTTAACTTTGCAATGCGTTGGATTGCAACCCACTACCAGAATTAATGTCCACCCTGCAAGTCGAGTCTCTTTGTCTTTTGAGAAATCAAATCAGTCGCCTACTACGGCCTCCAACCAGCCATGTTTTTACACTTTTTACATGAGTTAGGATCTAACAAACCAAGCTTACAAAAATTCTAAACTTATCCTAACCTATGCGTATATAATGCCTTTTTATGGCAAATGAATATTTTATCCACCTACTATGTACTGAAATAACGCTGGTCGTGCTTAATTAGTGTGAATTAGCATTTGACCAATATGTCTTGCGAGGGCTGAAACAACGCCGGTATGCAAAGGCAGTAGGTTCTGATCTACTCCTGAAAATGACTGGAAAAATAACAGAGTGATGAATTAGTGCTAGTCATGCTGAAAACCAGCACTGAGTTTAGTCCGTGAGCTTAAAGTAACTATTTCAGGACAGATTCAGAATTTATTCACTATATAATGTCAGGATTATTTCAGAATTAGCAAGATTTATTTCAACATTATAGTAATTCACTTAACTTAATTATTTATTAACATATACACTCAAAATAACTTATTTAGTTTTCAACTCACAATCAGTGTAATTGGACACAAACACTTGAAAATAAGTCCAGAGAGGTGAAGGACAAAGAAGAATATCGATGTAGCCGTTGTGACAGTTGTAACAAACAGTAACCAACCGCCTACTGCGGTGATACGATAGTGACTCACTACCGCAATGGAGACAATTAGGGCCAGTCCCATGCAAATTTCCAGAATTTTGAAGATTGCACGAAGCTCTCTAGCGTATTCAATATTGAATGACATAGCTCTGGGAAGTGTGTCTTTTTCGCGATATCCCAATACTACATTTAAAATGTCGAACCAAATTGTTGTTTTAGAAATTGTACATCGGTTGTAAAGTGGTAGTGTCTGAGATTCATTGAGAGGAGATAATCATCCACTGAAAGAAGCTTTTTATTTGCCCATTTAACACTAAGTGGTTAATCAACACATCTATTATCACAACATATTCGCAAATATAGTTCAACGTCCAATATTTGTTTTGCTGCCCAGTGTAGACTAAATTGATTTATTCGTGCTCGCTTCTTGAATGTAAGGTAAAGGTCCCTAGCTTTCATCCAAGTACCCTACTGTTGTAGCTTTGGTTTACTCCTAATGGAGTGATGTTGGGTTTAATTATTTTTCAGTACTGTGGACATGTGGTTTGTAGAATGCAAGGTGTGACTACTGTGAATGGAGTTAGCCACTTCACACGTTGGTTATCAGTGTAGATTATGAAGACTTAACAACAGAAAAAAACTAAAAACAGATAGATTATAAAATTTGAAACTTATATGTATATATTTTAAAAAATTTTATTACAGCTTGCTTCCACACAGTATATATCAATAACGATGATAATGATATAAGAGAATGAACATATACGGTAGTCGGAATGGCAAGATGTATGAGAACCGGCTGAAGGAAAAGGATGGGTTGAGGTGAATACTCATTAATAATGGGAATCTTTAGGGGATAAGCCGTCTGGAGGCATTCCTTGTGTCTCAGTATGATTATCCAGCCTCCGCTGAAGGCTTTTCACACACGGTATAGTAGCCGCATCTCCCCGTTGATATTCCCAGGGGTAAAAGTTTCGGAGCGAGAAGAAATGGGACAGCACTCCAGTCTTTGCCATCTGGTGAGCTATCCTTCATGAATTGCCCCGAGGAAGCTCATGTGTACTTAATGGCGGAAAAATATTGTTTGGGTGATTCTGGCCACTTGTAATCAAATCACACTTAAGCCGACAGCAACTAAGTGTGAAAGCCGTAATTGTGTCAGCCATTCATTATATGCTATATTTCGGAGGCCCATTACCACTTCAGACACTTTCCAAAAGGTTAGTGCCTCTTACATATGGCGAAAGAGCAAGGATATTGTGTACTTAAAGGTGTGGTCTTGCGTATGTATTGTACAACCTCGGAAACAGCTTGAGATTGGGCGCAACATTGTATACCTAAAGTGTGTAACCGAACGTGCCCTCGCTATATCCCCTGTGCAGTCACGCTTATGTCCACTTTTCCGTTGGAACTAGATCAAAGCCATACTTCACCATTACACACGACAAGTTTTCATGACACAGGATGCAACTTGCTTCACGCAGACTACAGGTACGCAGCTGCACTACCCGTGTTGGAAGTCATGCTGGTTTTCCGGAATGGTTATGTCTGCCTGCAACATATTTGAGTCTTCCGAGTAATTTATATTTCTACAAATCCTGACGTCGTCAGCGTTCAGCAGAGTCAAGAAGTCTGGGGGGCATGGAACGTTATAGATAAAGATCAAAAACATCGGTGGTCCTAGGATAGAACTCTGTGAAGTTCCGGATGGCTAGATGCGTCAGGATGATTGGACACAACTGACCTCGGTTCTGAATCCCTACTCGTCTGGGTAGCCCTCCAACCATGAGAGAAGCAGGCCAACGACACATGAGTCTTTTTATCTGAAACTTCGGTTACACTAAGTCCCAAATAATCCCAAATTAGGCTCGTGTAATAACTTTGCATCACTTGTCATCATTCAGTTCCATCTCTGATGCTTCTGACTAACAGACTAACCATTCGACTTAACCATTAGGAGGTGTTTGATTATCAGCTATACGCAACTGATTTGTTGTCAATATAATAATAATAATTTTTATTTCTGGAACAGAAACCAGCCATTTTTACAGGCATGAACAAATGTACACTAATTAGAACTTATAGAATATATATGATTTGTTAATCTAGAAATAGACTGAATACTGGTAAATTTGAGAGAAATATTTAAAAAGAAATGTACAAATAAGGCAATAGGTAATTTTCGAGATATGGTTTCAACTGAATAATTCATGAGATATAGCATCAAATCAAAACTGTTATTGAAAAAAAATACGGTATGTCAATTTCACGCGGGAATTATAAACGATTACGTTAATTGTGGAAGTTAAGTAGCATTTTTGTACAGGTGCTGACGTGAAATATGAGAGATGCGGAATGAACAGTAATTGTAAGTAAATGATTCATAGAGTGTTTGAAAGTCCATAAAACTTCAAATTCACCGGTGAGTACACCATAATTCCAGTTGTATATGAGACCAACTTTGAACTTGTCAGCAGATTTCATGATAGAGGTGGTTCGGTTATTCACCAGGTGGGCTAGCAATATTCCGAATTAGTTGAGGATAGCGGCACTGTTTCAGTGCCTTCGTTTAAGGCAGTACCTTTGAAAAGAGAAGAAGACACAAGGAAACCGACAGAGAGGCGCAGAAGTATATAATAGGTGTTAATTATTCAAAACATATATAAAAAACATGGGGTTCATCATTTTTTGTTGTTTTTTTCATTTAAAAAATACTATTTCCCCTTGAGATTTTCTAGTGATGGAATTCTAGTCTTTCTTGCGAAAAGAAAAAAAAGTTTAAGTGAAAAAAGATGATAATTTTACCTACTTATATAGGTTGAATATGAGTTAAACACAAAAGTCAAAGTGCGTGAACTATGTAGAAGAAAAGCGAGGGCTTGATAATAACTACTGTTTTTCTGAAGTATACATTTAGGTGTCCTTCTGAAGTAGGGGACTCATACCATGTACTTGCATTCGAGGCGTTTGTTATTTAAACTTCAGCTTTAGGCAATTTTTCAACTTCTGTTGTCTTTTTTTAAATTTTATTCTCTTATTTTGCAGAAGCCATTCGAACTCAGGAGCCTTAGCAATAGAGTACTGTCCCACAGATAAGAGTGGTTCTCATATGTCCCCACCATCATATCCGCTGACTAGCAATCACCACCCTCCCACCTTTTTTGTGCAAGGCCCTGGCAAAATGCCTCATTTTTTGTTATATATATCTTTTAATTTCTGTTATAATATGCCACAAAATTTTCTTTTTTTAAAAAAATATTCATTTGTCAACTCATTCGAAGTCATGGTATGAGTGACTACTTTCAGAAGACCGTCATGTATGTTTCATCTGTTACAGCATTTTGGAGAGGAACAACAATAAAAGTATAAGGAAGATAGACTATCAGAGTCTACATTTTAGATATAAACAAATGTAATTTCGGAAAACAGTGCATAATCATGCAGCATTAAACATATAAGTAGTAGTAATTTATAATATTTTGTTCCGAAAGATTTGACTAAACAACATTATAGTTATAGAACAGTAAGATAGGATTCATTACTATTTAGGACTCACCGTATAGTTGATTATTTAGACTACCAACATTCGGGCCTTAATTTGCGTATAGGCAGACAGTGCTAACATGTAGCATTAGGCAGTCTCCAGAGACATTTTAATACCAGTCGTTTTCAGTTGATTTGCATCTGGAACTTGAGACTGAACTCTTAGCATGCTGAAATACTCATAATACCATGTTATCAGTGATATGTGCAAAAAAATTCTCTTTTAATATTTGAATGAAGAAATAATTAAAATTTAAGGCTGATTGAGAACAGGTGATTGGGGTTGTGAAAACAATCATAGTGAAAGTAGAGTCAAACATAGAGATCACAGATTTCGGGAGCTAACAGTGAGGGTCAGAGGAGTGCCGTATTAGATCTCTGATTTTTAGTCTGTCACATACGCCTTCTAAACCGGTGTTGATAAAATATATGTTCAGCAGAGATGAGAAGGTTTTCGGGGTAGGACTGTTTCTAATTTCAGTTGGAAGACGGTTCCAAATGCAGCGGTATCTGACAGTGAAAGAATTTGATCTGTACTTTGTATGACAGTGAGGCACTTCAAAAGATGAAGATTTATTTCTAAGGTTGTATTTCTTAGGTGAACTAAAAGTAAAGTCGTTGTGGGGGAAATATATAAGCCCTTTAGCGATCCTAAATGTAATTTTTAGGTTAAACTTCAGTCGTCTGACCCATAAGGGTTCCAAGTCAAATATGTTACATCTGTCGTAGTAGGAAATGCAAAGATTTTCACCTACTAGACGTTTGGTAAACGCCCTTTGTAGGCTTTCCAATTTGCACCTGTCTTTTACGGAAACACTGTCCATGACAGGAGGACAAAATTCAAGTAAGGGCCTTATGCATAACTTGTACAGCATAATTTTGGATTCACACGCTTTAAAGTTTCGGAATAAAAACCCAAAAAGTCTTTTAACCTTTGATACTTGTAATTTAACGTATTCCGTTAGGCTAAATTCTGGAGTGTATTTTAGACCCAAGTCTGTTGTAAGCGGCAGACGAGGAATATGATTGTTGTGTAGGGAGATGGAAAGTTCGGATGAAATGCCTTTGGAGCATAGCACACTACATTTTTCAATGTTAAACTTCATTTTCCACGTGTTACACCACAATTGGACACTATCAATATCATCCTGAATCCTATCAAATACACATGACACTTCATTTCTGAGTGAGTGGTATACTATTTTGATGTCATCAGCAAATAGGAAAGGTCTGCCATGTCTAATAACGTCGCAAATATCATTGAAATATAACAGGAATAGCAGTGGACCTAGAACACTACCTTGTATGACTCCACTTGTTATCCGGACGGGGTTGGATGTGCGGGAACCTAACCTGACCATTTGCATCCGATTGCTTAGGAATGAACTGAGCCAGCTTAACAAAGAACCTTGGATCCCGTAAGACTGGACTTTTGATATTAACAGTCGGTGGCTTACTGTGTCAAAAGCTTTACTAAGATCTAAGTATACAATAACTGTGATCATACTGGAATCTTTCAGTTGTGAGATGTGATCAAAAAATTGTAAATGGCATGTAGTGCAAGAACGTGACTTCATGAAACCATGTTGATAAGGAGTGATAAGTTTCTCTTGAGAGAGGAAGTCAAAAATGGCACTTTTCACGATCTTTTCCAGAACCCGTGAAATAACAGAAGTTAGGTTAATGGGTCTGTAACTCATGACACTTGAACGGGAGCCTGACTTATACCTAGGGGTAATGTGCGTGGTTTTCCA